TTTAACCATTAAAAAATATTAAACAAATTAAATTTATAATTTATAAAGTATCATGAATTAAATTAAATATAATTACAAATCTAAAATCAACTATATTGACAGGCGCCTCATTTTTGACAGCGACAGCCGATGCCAATATTTTCTGTCACGAGAAGTCACCTAATAACGGTACTTCTTTCACATTTTCTTTCGCTGTGTTATTTTGTCCAAAAGGGAAAAGGACAATAACGGCTAGTGCAGCTTTTGGTCGCCCAGCGAATGAAGCAGACCTTTCTTTACTGGCTTAGGATGACGAGCTCGTGGGTTTACAGCCTGATCCGGTAAACTTGCCGATGTTACCAAGGGAGCTACCGGTATTTCTCGGAACTGCTAATTATATTATGTTGGTCCCACTTTATATTAATGCAACTTATTATTATTATTATTATTATTATTATTATTTATTTGAGAGATTTAACGCAGCTTAATTTAATTATTGGCTAGTAATAACTATTGTTCTCTAATACTAATTTGTGAATGTGAAGTACTACTTTTATGTAACTTTTGATAATTGTTTCATAACAGAGTAGAAAAGACAAGGTTGTTTTATATATTTGTTTTTTTTTAATTAAATATCTTCCTACATACTTTATGTGTATATCTTTTCTATGATAAAATATTAATTAAACACAAGTTTTATGTTCAACTTATGTAATAATTGATGAATTTATCTATTATTTTCAACGTTATTATATATTTTGATATAACATTTTAACTTATTACGACTTATAAGTATGTTTGATATTGAATATTTTTATTTAAAAATATATTAAAATATATTTTTATCATACATTAAAATTATTAAAAAAAATATAAAAAAATTAATTTAATGTCTTTTTAAGTAAAATACACTAAAAAACCAAAAGCTACTATACTTCCAAGAAATCATTAGCTATTGTGTTAATATATTTGTTAACTTGATTTAGAGAAAAATTGGGATGCGGTCTTGTGTATTTTTTTAAAAAATAATTTTTTTATATTTTTAAGATATTTTTGATGCGTCAATCTCAAAAATAATTTTTTTAAAAAAAATATTTTAATATATTTTAACATAAGAAATATTTTAAAAAATAATTATAACTGTGTTCTAAATAAACCCTTAATAAACTTGCTAATCTTAATTTGAGCGTTCTTGGCAAGATTGATATATAGAATTGATTTGTTGTTGCATCCCTTGGCCAATTGGCCTATTTTATTTTAGTGTTTGTTATAATTTTTTTATTGATAAAAAAAATCATTTTAAATAAATCCATGAACAAGGAAAAACTTGGGTTCCCTTTGAAAAAGACGCAATGTTAACAAAAATTATAGAAAAATTCAATTCAATCTAGTAATTTGATGTTAATGTCATTTTATTTCAAGAAAATAACTAATTAACTTGTTAAAGACATGTCACATGACTTAATTAATTATTAATTGCATGTGGTGTTCCATTTAGAACAATCGTAGAGCTTTCACTTTAAGAGGTTGAGAGTCATTCACTAAGGATAGAAAAATAAAAATAAAAATAAAAATAAAATAAAAGAAAATCCTCAACTACCCTTTACCAGTGAACCAACCAAATAAAACGAATCCCTATAGTATATATTATATTTGGTTATTTTCTTGGTATAGAAATAATAAATATAAAAGAGAACGAGAAAAATAAAAACATATTTAATTGAAAACATAAAGACAAAAGCATAGAATAAATCTGTCTCCATAACTATTTTAGAATAAATTCTTTATTTTGTTTTTAAAACTGAAAATATAGAAAGATATATATAAAGTTTCCCCAGAAAAAAAACTGGGGGTGACAAGTCGTTTCATTTAATTTCATTAATACTTGTCATCCATATTAATATAAAACATTAAGAAAGTAAAATAAAATAAAATAAAATAAAATTTATAAAATTGTACATAAATTAAGGGATAGGTACTCTACAAGTAGATTAATTCATTTTAAAATAACAGTCTATATGCATATTAATTTAGAATTTTCTCTTATCATTCTTTCTATGTATTTGACATTGCTATACCATCAAATAAAATTTCTACGGAGAGTACAACATTGTGATCTCGTTATCGGTTTATGTAACTTCAATAACAAGAAGATATTAGTATTGGTGCAAAAAAAAAAAAATGCATCAGCAAAATATTGTAACCCAATGAGATATGACATTGTTCATTAAATGAAATGATTTTTTTTTTAATAAAATCATCTTTTTAAGGAGATCTATTAGATAATATAAATATAACTGGGGATAAATTGATCCATATATATATATTAGCATAGAAAAATGACTTTGCTATTCTTAAAAGTAAAAAAAAAATATAATTTTTATCTGGGTTTATTTATATTATTTTTAATATTATTTGCATAGTAAAATTATATTGATATACTTGAAAGAAAAAAAATAAACTTGCACATTTGAGTTTTTTGCCTTTTATTTTTTTTAAATAGTAAAGTGGTAGAATTGACCTTAAAATAATAATAAAAATCTAAGGTTGATTTTAAAAATGTTTTAGTTTTTTGATTATGATTTTTTTTAAAAAAAATTTAAGTTGATTTAGAACTTTTTTTTAATAATGTTTTTAAAAATATTGATATGCAGATAAGAATCCCAATTCCTTTTGAGTAACACATGCAAAATGATTATGTTATCTAAATCAGTTGCCCACAATGATATTGGAAGCAACACATTGTTCTCTTTGTATTGGTGGGACACGTGCTCACAGAGAAGATGCATTGAGTTTCAATGAATATTTTTTTATTTCCTCTTTTTTTTCTATTTCTAACCTAGAAATTCACATTAACCCTTTCAAAAATCTATCGTATTCTTTAGTTTTTTTTTTATTAATTTTAACTATCATTCTTTTATGTACTATATTATTTTTCTTTTAATACTATTTAAAATTTAAATTTATTTTTAATTTCATACCTTGATATTTTATTTCATTTAATTTTTATTAAATTTAGTTCTTATTTTTTTATTTTTTCTTGATTTTTTTATTTTTTAATTTCACCTCTCATCATTTTATTTTATTTATTTACTTATCAAATTTTGATCCCTATTTTTATTTTTTTCTTAATTTATTTATTTATTTTAGTCTATAATTATTTTTTTCATTTACTTTTTATACCATATTTTTATTGTTTTGATTGCTATTTTTTTTATTTGTTATGATTTCAATTTTTTTTTTTATTTTTCATGTATGTCTTTCTACAAGATAATATACGTCTCATGACCTGATTTAAATTTGGTTTTTTAGTCCTTTGTGATTTTTTTTCAAATTCATCATTGGGTTTCATTGTTTGTTTTTATTTATTTTATCATTTGATATTAAATTATTGATCTTTGAGCTTTATGATTTGTTTTATTTTTTTGTGGGGTTATCCCGAGTACATGTTAGTTAACCCACTTTAACTCAAAGTTTTTTTTTTTTGCTAGCATTTTTTTTTTTGCTTTGGTCTTTTTTGTTAGGTCATTGTATTAAAAATCTAATATTTTTATTTCAGTCACATATTGCAGGTAGCAAATTAATCAAGTTAACTTGTATTTTTTCTTCGACATTACTTTTTTTTATTTTTTTATTTCATTCATTGACATTGAATTATTGAGTCTTAAGCTTTGCAATTTTTTCCACTCTCTTAGTATGAATTATATTAATCTCTTATCACATATTAATTAAGTTAATCTAGATTTATTCTGAATATCATTATCTAGACATCATTTTTTTATATTAGTAAAAAATTGACGCGGCCTACTATGCAGCGTAAACCATCTATTTAGTTTAGAGCTAATTTAACATTGTGGTCTAACTATGCATTTGAAGAATTTGAAATTTTTCTTAGCTTCCGATTTTTTTTTATTTTTGAACTGTTTTGATATGTTAATATTGAAAATAAATTTTAAAAAATATAAAAAAATATTATTTCAATATATATTTAAATAACATATACATTAAAAAACCTCCACTATATTTTCAAATAAATATCTAACAGCTATTTGCAAAGGGTGTCGAACATCTTCGCAATTAAATACATCAGGTCTCCAAGAGGCATGGCATGATGACAAAGAATTTGAGATTTGTATAGCAGGTCTTGAGTTTGAATCAAGACGTGCATCTCTTGTAAAAGTCTGGAATAACTAGAATTTTACTCACTCACTTATACTCACAAAATATATTTTTCAAATAATAAGGTTTCCTCGAATAAAAAAAAAACCTCAGCTATATTAGTTGGAAAATAAAAGGCAAGAGAAAATGAAAATAGGAGAGGATTGAAAACAGAGTGGTGTGAGGTTAGCTTGACCAAAAAAAGATTTTTTAAAAAGCAATTTAACACGTTTTAAAAAATAACAAATCAATTTTTTTTTTTTGAAAAATAACATAATTTGGTGAAAATTATAAGTGAAAAATGCAACATTTTAAAAAATACAATTAAAATGAAGTGGCGTAAATTTCAATGAAAAAACAGCAAAAAGAAAAAGAATAAAGAAAAGAATAAATGAGACATGAAGGCTCACCAAGATCGGGTAACGACATTTGACCTTATATAATTAAGTAAGTGATCAACTTCCATTTGTAATAATTAGATTAATTAAATTACAACTAACTCAGCATAAACACAGAAAAGAAGTCGTTGTCCATCAATCATCACAGTTTTTAGGGTTCTGTTTAGAGTTTGTGAGTCATGTTGTTTTTAAAAATATATTAAAATAATATTTTTAATTTTTTTAAAATTATTTCTAATTATATCATGTTAAAAAAATTAAAATATTTTTTAAAAATTAATTTAAGATAAAAAAAATTAAAATTTAATAAAAACCGATTTAACCGCCGTTCATGGTACTTTAATAATCCAAACAGACAGCATCACCATCAAGCATTTAGGCTCCACGCAGTGGCAATATCGACATTGCACCAAAATCCCATGTCAAATAAAATCCAATCACCACCTTACTTTCCACGGAGCTCTAACCACTTACATTGCGCGTATTATTTATTTTTACCGGCTATGCCGGTCACCACACCGCGTCACTCCCCTTCTATCTCCTTCCCCAAAATCCAAACCCTCCCTGCAAGCTCCATGGCTTAACAGAATCAAATCCTCTCAGAAATCTGAAAGATGTCTTCCCGTTTTACCCCTCGTTTTTCATATTTCCTAATCTCTACCTCTATCTCTCAAAGAAAAACCCTAATTGGTGCCAACCACACCTCTGCTCGCTTCTGCTCTCGCTAAAAACGGAAAAGAAAAGCCACTCACTCCCTTTCAGATTTTTTTTCTTTTATTTTTTTCCTCAAGTATTTAGAAATCATCATGGAGCCAACCGGAGGGAAGCCAAACTTCTTGAGGAACATTCTAGTGAAGGTGTTGTTATTCGGCGTCTTAATCATAATCGTCCGATTCGCTTACATAGTTACAACTACCGGCGAATCATGCAATCTCGGAGACTTCTGTTTCTTACCGGATAATTTCAATTTTGTTATCGCCGGCACCGGAACCGTTGTCTCCACCTCGAACAACGCGGTGGAATCCACCTCAGCGGGCACCTCACAGTCAGATCTTTACAGGAGTAAAGACTGGATCAAGGCCGTCCATTTCTACTCTGATGTATTTCATGATCTAGTCTCCGACGGTTATATGTCGGCGATCTCGAAGACTTTGTGTGTGGAAACGCCGAGAGGAGATGATGTTTTAGCTTTGAAAGAAATCGGTATTCTGGACTCGATTGGAATTTACAAAAAAGCATCAAAGCCCTTGGTGATTTCGTCGAAGGAGAATAGGTTACCGTTCGATGAGAATACTTTTGACTTCATATTCTCCGGTGGGGACCGGTTGGATAAGACTGCACAGCGGCCGTTGGATTTAACGGTGTCGGAGATCCAACGGACATTGAAACCCGAAGGGTTTTTTGTGGCTCACGTGAGTGCTAAAGATACCTATAGTTTTAATTCGTTTCAAGATTTATTTAATTCTTGCAAATTAATTAAGTCACGTGACATTGAAGGTTATGATTCATCGATGCCACTTATTAGAGAAATTGTCTTGCAAAAGAAAGTAGGAAATGAAATTGTTAGCAAAGATTCTGATGGCAATTCACGGAATTCGTGCTCTGTTCCTGGGTATAAAAGGGATTTGGTACGCAATGCGGAGGCGTTGATAATGGAGGAGCCATTGAAACCGTGGATTACTTTGAAAAAGAATATAATGAATATTAAGTATTTGACGGCGATAGCGGATATTAGTTTTAAGAGTAGGTATGTGTATGTTGATGTTGGAGCCAGAAGTTATGGGTCTAGTATAGGGAGCTGGTTTAAGAAGCAATATCCGAAACAGAACAGGACGTTTGATGTGTATGCGATTGAGGCGGATAAGGCATTTTATGAGGAGTATAGAGTGAAAAAAGGGGTTACATTGTTGCCGTATGCAGCATGGGTGAGGAATGAGACGTTGACTTTTGAGATTAATCATGATCCGGGCAAGGAAGTTAAGGAGAAAGCGCGAGGGATGGGGAGAATTCAGCCAGTGAAATCATCGTTGTCATCTAGGAGTTTTAATGGAGAAGTGAATGAGATTGAAGGGTTTGATTTTGCAGAGTGGCTGAAGAGTACGGTGACGGAGAAGGATTTTGTGGTGATGAAGATGGATGTTGAAGGGACCGAGTTTGATTTGATACCGAGGTTGTTTGAAACTGGAGCCATTTGTTTGATTGATGAAATCTTTCTTGAATGTCATTATAATAGGTGGCAAAGATGTTGTCCTGGACAGAGGAGCTCCAAGTATGAGAAAACATATGGGCAGTGCTTGGACCTGTTTTCATCTCTTAGAGATAGAGGAGTTCTTGTTCATCAGTGGTGGTGATTGGTAACAATCCTACTCATCTTGTTGTAACTTCTAGGGAAAGTGCTCTAGGATTTTAATCTTCTTTTTTTTTTCAAGTGGTTCCTTTGTATGCAAATTTTCTTTTCTTGTAAGAATTGCAGATGCAAATGAAAGTCTCACTACTTTTTTCACTTCATTTTTTAAATTTTAATGAGGTTTTGATTTCTGTCTACCTTTGAGATTCAATCTCTTGTCCAAAATTCAGTATTTTTATTAACTGATTTCATTTTTGTGTCATTGAGAGCTTTTGACGTGTCAATAAAAATGGTAAGCCTCGGATATTAGAATGCTTATCTTCAATCTATAAGTGTGTTATTAACAAATCCAAGCTTGTTTTTCTATGGACTAGAGTTTACCATGTCCCTGATAAAAGAAAGGGCAGCTTCTCTTGGTGATTCAGTGCTGTGCCATTTTGATAAATTCAAACCTTGGGAAGTCGCAATGTGCTCTAGGACCTTCCACTATTGGAATCTTTTTCCCCGGTTGGTCTGTATGATTGCATTCTAGTTTGCTTGCCATTTGGGGGACATAACTGCATTGCTGCCTGTTGAGCACTGTCATAAGATTCTGAACTGTTGAGCACTGGCGTAAGATTCTAATACTAAGAACTGATTATTTTAGTGCCATTGTGCCAATTTACTTTTATGCAACTGTGTTTCCCCCTTTCAAGTGTCAAAAACCGTGGCCTAGTCAATTATTCAATGTAGCAGATATTGAATTGATTCCAGTACAAATTTTAATGAGATTTTTGTTTCTGTGTACTCATGTTCGAGACCATTTTGAAAACTAGGGTCTATCAGGTAATAATTGCTGTCGATGGTTTGATATGTTCACAGAATCACGGTATAGCAATCAGAGATTGATTTCAAATTTGAGGTATGATTGTGCTTATCTTTGACCCTGTTAATATAATTTTTTAGAACCCTTTGCTATTAACTATATGGTATTATACAAATCCAATCTACATATTCTATGGAGTAGAGCGTGCACTCTTCTCTGTAAAGAATTAGGATTTGATCTCATTGTGCTCCTGCCGAGTTCCATGTTAATCACTAGACTTTCTAGATCACCTTGAAATCTTTCATTGCTGTAGCTCTGCCTCTTGTATTTTCTTTTTATCAGCACTAGTAACTACATTCCATCATCGAAGTTGCAGTTTGGGACATACATTTTTGAGCACCCTAACAAAAATTTACCTTTCAGCACCAGTTAGTCTTTTGTGATTAGAAATAGATCACATGTGTATAAGCAGAATCACATAACAAACTCAAGTTTTCTCTGCTGAAATTATCAGTTGCAGGAAGATATGGAGGGCAGAGAATCAAACTTGTGGTTCATATCTAGGCAAAGTGGACGGAGCTCCCATAATAATTGGGTGGCACCACCGCAATCTTTAAGTGATGGTGGTTGTGGGGTTTAGAAAATGTCACTTGGTGGTTCAGGATCGAAATCTCCAGTTACATACAAGATATCCTTTCTTCGCACTTCATCTATATTGTCTTGAATGTGCTTCTTTCTGTGCGTTGAGGACATTGGTCAAAATGAGCTTGCAGTCTAAACTCTAACTAGATATGATTGAAGCTATTTTGATTTCCATTCGCTGTGTGTGTCAATCGTGCTTTCAGTTTTCTTTAATGCATTGCATGGTGCAATTCTAGGAGAAGTTAATTGATCCTCTACCATGCACTGTGCAACGCAATCCAATATATTTCAATTAAAATACTATTACATGTTCTTATGATTGGTTTCTTTGATATACTTAATTTATTCATTCTTATCTCAGTTGCTAAAACACTGTTACAATCTTTTATGCAGGACAGCATTAGAAAATTCTAACAATTCTGAATAAATAAAATAAAATAAAAACTATTTTCTTCAAATTTCTCAAAAAAGCTTGTGCACGAAGGAACTTCCTTTTGAGTTTAGTTTTTAGTTAAGAATTATTCTTCACCACAAATGTCTTTTTGTGCGAGCTTTCTTGTAACAAATTTTATAATTCAAGTTGATATTAACAGTCTTATTGAATTAAAAGAAATTGACATAAAAAAATTAATTGGCAATAAAAAAATTAAAAGATAGTTTTTAAGCATATTCTCGGGTCTCCATTAGAGCACATGCGAGATTATTCAATTCTCCCATAACTTAATAGAAAATCCTTGTAAGTTTTTCCAAGATTTCTCCATGCCCTAGAATTCTACTTAAATAGAAGAGAAAATAGGACTACTACACTTCTCTTTATCGGTCTTTAAAACAATTTTGTATATATTGTACCATCATGAATATCTACCATAATATATTCATGTGAGCCGTCATATTGTGAATCTCACCACCAAAATTTCCAATAACATTAACTAACTCAGACAAAAACAATACACTGGTTCTAGAATATATATATATTTTTTTTCACAAGGAATAACCTTTTTTATCGCTGTCTACATGAATATATCCTATTTGCAATATCTTCCGGTTATAATTATTTAATAATATATAATAATTAACCACTAAAAATCATTGAGCTTTAATATATATTCCTTGCAACTTCCAACCAAAATCACAAGGAATTTTTGGGCTATAATTCCAATTGCTATAGATAGGAGCGAAGAAGAATAATAAAGTTTGTTAAAGTCAAAATCGTTAAAAATTAATAACACCATAACTATGAGAATACTTTTAAAATATATTTGATCTTGTTAATTCATGTTTTACTTGCTAAAATGTTATTACAATCTTTTACATAGAAAAAAAAAGACTCTAAATAACCCTACCAATTCTGACTAAAAATATAAAATAAGAAAACTACTCTATTTACATAGAAAAAAACTAGAAAAACATGATAATGCAAAATAAAAAGATAAAAATAGTAAAATTAATTAAAAAAATATTTTTTTTTTAAAAAAAACTCAAATATTAGGATGATATTATGTACTCCATCTTAAACTTGCAAAAGATAAGAGCTAGAGTACACTAGGTAATATTTATATATTAAATTTGATTCGACCAATAAGTTGATTTAGGAATTGTGATTTAAAGTTGACCTAAATTGTGTTTTAATTTAACTAAAAAAGACAATATCCAAACTTGATTAACTAATAATGCAATTGAACTGATCAAATTACTACGATAAATTATTTTTAAAAGAATAAAACTAGATAGCTTTGATAACAAAATAAAAAAAAACCTAAATTGACTTCACAACCCCTATAATTTGGATTCTTTTTTAGGAAATTTAGGTTTTTTTTAGGTTAAATCCGAGTTAGCTTTGATATCCCTTCATAAAAAAAGAAATTTTACCTGCTTTAACATAAACAACGAGGATTCTCAAAAATAAAGAAAAACAAAGATTTCATATAATGTACAAAGTAAATTTGATTCACATGGAAAATCAAGATAAACAGGATAACAAGGTTCTTAAAATAACAATCTTTCCTAGAGATTAATTATGCAAGATGGAAATAAGTTACAAATTCAAAAGTACAGTTCAGTTAATTTCACTCTCCACGGGAGCCTATCGATTCTTTACTATAAAATTAATAAATATAAACAACAATATTAAAAAAATATTTTTATTAAAAATTTACTGATAGATTTTACTAATGATAATATTCTCTCGATGTATATTGAGAGAATTACAATAAGAAACAAAATAATTAAAATAAAGTATAAAAAAATAATATGGTGATGATTTTACCGACATAATTTATTACATCGGTAAAATTTATTGGTAAAACTATTGGTAAACTGTAAACACTGTTTATTATGTTAATTACAAAGAGAATCACCGATAAAATATTTCGTTGGTAAAACACTATAATAAAAAGTTTAAAATCTCTAATTTCACAACAGACTCGTCTTCTTTCTTCTTCTTCTTCTTTTTAAATATGCAAAAAATATCAATATCTTTTTCTTTTCTTTTCTTCTCTCTCCAACTACTTCTCTTCTTCTCCATGCTCAAGTGTGTCTTTTTCTCCTTTCTTTTTAGGTTTTTTTTTTTATTTTTTATTTTAATATACTTTATGAATTTGTTTTTATTTCTCTTCTTAACGTCACTTGAAACACATTAAGTTAAGAATTTCTATTTCCTTTTTCTTTTTATTTTTTTCATTATATTTGTTTTTTAATTATTTTTGTTTTTTATAATTGTATGAATGTTGTTGTAAGTTTTTTTTTCCTTGATATGATATCAATTTTTAGTCAATTTATTTATAAAATTTTTTAAAAAATTTCATATGAATGTTTTTAGTTGAATTTATTTGTTGTAAATTTGTTTGAGTTGATTTTCTTCTTCTTTTTTTCCAAGCATTTTGAGTATTATAGAGAATTGATTTATATTAATTTAATTATTTTATAGTTTTGTAAAAAAAAAAATTAAAATTTTTTTAAATAATTACCAACAAAATTATATACAGTATTTTGCCGAGGAAAATACTAATGGAATGAATTAGATAATTTTTTTCTCATCTTTTCTGTTAGTAAATCCATTGATAATAATTTTTTTATTACTAATAGAATTACCAACTGATAAAAAATTACCGATATTAGATTTATTGATGGAACATTTTTTCCAGTGATTTTATTGGCAAATTAATTATTAATAGAATAATAATGTAAATATCAAAGAAAAATTATGTCAATAAATCTAAAAATTATGGTAGTGATTTTATTGGTAACTTAATTATTAACAAAATAATAATGTAAATATCAAAGAACAATTATGTCAATAAATCTAAAAATTATGGTAGTGATCGATCATGGACCTGGGGGG